AATCAAAAACTCTTACTAAGCACCTAAATTGTAGATAGACTAGCGCCGGATGCTAATATTGAAATTCAAATCAAGTTAGTATGAGAATTGTCTTTTATTAAGGTTCACGAGGAAAAACTCCATTTCCTGTGCTGTTCACATGATAATATCTCATTGACGTTGTAAGTCACTTGAATCAGTAGTGTTCCAAAAACATCCCCTAGTACCAATCCACTTCGGAGTTAGCATCGCTCCGGCGACATGTATGTTCGTCTGGCTGTYGTGTTGGTCTTCTCACTAGTGGCTTTTTCAGAGCAAGAATTGATGAACGGTAAGCTTGAATGGTACAGAATATGAAATACTGAAAACAATATCATAAACTCGACATACACAATGAGAAAATGGCGAGGAATATGTCAATGCACCTGCGCTTGAAATGTCGCAAAGTGAATATCAACAATACTCAAAGCGTTCAGTTTCCAATTTCTTATTTCTTTTATTATCATTCTGAAGTATAATCTTTGAAAACTGATTTTGGATTATTCTCAACACAAGGAATAGGTCAAAAATTGATTAAATAGGAACGCTATACATTTTGGCAWCGCCGGTAAATGACCCGGCGATCCGTTCGAAAAGAGCGATCATTTCATGATTTCTCAGTGTAGTATAGCATTAAAGATTGATTTAAGATGTGTACTGCAATCTTAACCTGAGCAAAAATTTGAAAATATATAGTGATACTAATATAATATTACTAGTARTCACATACTATTCTAAGATATTGATATTATGCTCATGCGTATGTCTCATTTCATTAGGAAATCGCCTCGGCTTTCTTAATCGTAACAATCTTTTGAGGAACGTCCGAGGTTTTCGAAGATTTCAAGACGATGTTGATAAAGGTAAGGAAAGAGCAATTTTTTAGCCCGTGAACGCATTGCATGTTAGTCTTTGGCTGTTGACTTTAGACACTTCATTTTCACTTCGATTTATCCACAAAAAGCGAAACGCAATGCGCAATGTTTAGTAATTGTTAAACTACAAAAAATAGATAGATGTGATTCCTTTTTCGATTTGCGCAAAGATGAAAAGTAAATGAACATAGCATGAACGATTAAATGGGAAGAAGAACAGAAAATACATAAAATCGGGAAAAGTCATGCAATTAGAAAGAGAGAAGAAAGGAACAGTAGGCGTTGGAACAAGTGTCTCGAGTATATTTGAATTAACGTTTGTGCGGTGAACGTGTCAATTATTAGTTATAATTAGAAGCTGCAGCTGTRTTCACTCTTACTCAAAACTATCTTTCTCTGATACACCTTTATAAATATTGACTTTATAATAGGCATATTTGTCTATCAAAATACAGCCGTATTGGRCCATASTGTATAWTACGACAGCCAAATGTCTCATTAACAAATCAGTCGCGTCTAGAGATTGAACGAGCAAGATATGCTAYYTTTTTTTCCATGGATGTTGAGAAAAARGACGACTGCGAGAAGATGGTTAAATGAATACTTTATTTTATATGACCATCTATTAATTGCGCAGAAAATATSATTCTTCAGATACYATGGGTTCTTTCCGGCGTCAATTTGARTTGATGTTAGCATAGGGCTTTCAATGAAWAAACTTGTTACRATAATTGCGAAAATGTTGTTTTGTTAAGAAAGTCCACGTATCGACAMTTAAGTCATTTCCCTTTTTGATATTTCCTAGATGGACAATGTGGGTTAGTGARCTCGGGTAGCTCGCGCGTTGTATCAGGTGACGATGCTAYCCTTGCGGAGTGGCCATGGCAGGCGCAGTTAAATCTTATTCAGCCGGAGTCTGGTGATCTCCAGTTCTTCTGCGGTGGATCTTTGATTGACARGGAATGGGTATTAACCGCTGGCCACTGTATAATAGASGACGAYYACACCAAATATGTAGTAGACATCGGAGGAATCGATCGCAGAAAGTTTGAAGTATCCGAACAGGTGTTCAGGGTGAAGAGAATAATCAAACATCGATTGTACAACATCGGTGTACCTTATATGAATGATATTGCGTTACTGCAGCTGTCACGCAAGGCACGMATCACGCCATTTGTYAAYACTGTTTGTTTGCCGAGAGAAGGAGAGAAAGTTCCTCCTGGATCCAAATGTTTCATTTCAGGTACTGATAAACCTTGAGATAATACCTTGTTGTGTGGCGAAAGAAAGCTAGTGGGGGAATGGTTGAGAGAGAGAGAGAAAAAGAGGCTGACTGGCTGACTAAAAGTAAAATAAATCTCGTTTAGAATTGCTATTTTTTCCGCAGGCTGGGGACAAATGCTTCATCCAGGCGATTCAGCCGAGTTTTTACAACAAGCTGCGATGCCTGTAGTCACAAATCGGGMATGCGCAGAGAAGCTGGATTCTTCACCCAACGGAGGCCTACGCACCGATAATCGGACTTGGCACGTGACGAACGACATGCTGTGTGCAGGGGATGCCGGGAAGACGAAGACCAATGGGTGCTTCGGTGACAGCGGTGGTCCGTTTGTTTGYAAGGATAAAGAGAGTGACCGCTGGGTCCTTCAAGGAGTGGTGAGCTGGGGCGATCCTGATTGCTCATCGTCCAATCACTATACCGTGTTTACGCGTGTCAGTAGTTACATTGACTGGATCAAAAGGCAGACAGATAGATATACTGATTGATAAATAATAGATGTATTATCATAAATATCAGGGATGAATTTAAAATGATAAAGTTTTGATAACTTAGTGGAACTACTTCCTCGAGTACGGAAAACACAACTGATTCAGTAAAGGAARACTCTATGATCTCTATTCAAGACACAGACATGAAAAACATGTGAAAAACCTCTATATTATAGACAMACTGATTTATACCTATACTGTCACTTTTCTACTATGAAGACASCCCTTTACATTGGGGACAGAGAACCTCTCCATATAACGATCACCTCTGTTTTGCTAACATTCTTTAGGTCTCCGTTACAAGTTTCACTTGTTTTCATAAATACAAAGTAAGCTTTCTTTTGACATCTAAAAAAATAGAATAAAGAKAGCAGAATGTCCAACAATCTGCAACACTGGTTCTGGCWAAAAAAGGAAACRGAGAAGCCCTKGKAARGAGTCACAAGAGGARCGAGAGACTTGCCAGATAAATTGAATTAAGGGTTTTTGTTATTTGTATATTTAAATTGATAAATAAAATAAACCTTAGATGATTTATCAGTTGTTTTCAAAGTGCAAACGAGAAAAGAAGACAGGGAGCCCAAAAGAAGACATGGAGCCCAAAAGAAGACAGGGAGCCCAAAAGAAGACAGGGAGCCCAAAAGCCTTTTGTAACCAACACACGTGTTTAGTAATGGCGAACGGAGTGAAGCACTTTTTATCGTTTTTGAGTCTTTCGGCGTGAACGAAACATGGTAAAAAAGAAAAGAGGASAGTACAAACCTCAGAGAAGCAATAATTTAAGTGAGAAGYGGTCTAAATCTACTTCTCTGCAAAACTATCATGAAACAATGGAAGAGGATTTTGAAGACGATGTTATTGAAGAGGAGGACCTCGAGTTTTATAAAAACGCMGACCGTAATTTAGATTTTCTTGCAAACTTAAACGATGGTTTCAATGAGTAAGTATGTTTTCTTTTCAAGCTAGCAATCCGTCTTTAGTGCAAAATCAATGAAAACTTCACTGAGATAGGAGTTGTGAGGCCGATTTATTTGATCTATATTCATGTAAGATGTACAATTTGCATCCGATTTTAGTTGACATTAATATGCGTCTCTATGAAGCTCGCAGCGGGATTACGAACAGATTGTATTTATATGATGTTTTGCAGACAAAAWGGTGAAAGTACAAGGAAAAGAAGAAGAAAAACAAATATGGAAAATTCGGAAGCACATTATGAGAAAGAACCCAGGATGCTGCAGGATGATATGGAGGAGCAACGTGAACTACTACCAATCAAAAGCAAGAAAGGTTTTATACAAAGAATGATTGACAAGCCAGGTAGGTATATAAATGGGAGAAAAATAGAGAGGAGGAAATCCCATTCACGACTTTCCTTACGTAGCAAAGCATTGAACTGAGGTGTCAAGGAACACTGAGCATAAAAGAAATGATCCATTATCAGTGTTCCTTGACGCCTTGGTTAAATGCTTTGTGGTCACTGAACCTGYGTATGGAAAGTCGTGAATTCACAAGTGAAAGGCTGATGGGAGAATGAAGCACAAGAATGTGGCTACTATGTTAATCAATGTCTTTTCTGATATAAAAGCTTCTAACAACTTTGTTTCAGTTCAAAAAGAAGATACCAATAACAATGACTTAGAAGAAACTCAAGAAACCGATGATAAACAAGAAAGTGTWCCTGCTTCTCCCTCTACACTTAGCATTGTTGAGTTGTATGCWAGAAGGCAACAGAAATTAAATGAACGCAGACTCAGGATTGCTGAACTTAGTAATGCAGTATTGGAAAAACCAGAAGAAAATGTATGCTCATCATTTTACTATAATAGTAATTCATAGCAAGTTGAACATGCAAAGAAAAAGGCTACTTAATTGGCCCTAGATGCCTTAATTTATTCAATTTTTTATCAGATACCACAGTTAAAAGAACTTTGYTCTTATTGTGACGAAAGTGATRTKGACATAAGAATCACAACAAGAAARCTAGCCATGCTTTCATTATTAGAGGTTTTTAAGGACATTGTGCCCGGGTAAGCATTTCCTGTCTTTGYATAGTTAAAGGTTTGAACAAAATGACCTGTTGCTGTCATATGTCTAYTCAGTTAGACAAGGATATATCTTTTAATACAGCTTTGGGGTTGTAAAAAAAGTAATCAATAATTTTCATTTTTTAAATTTATTCTTTGTTAGGTATACTATTCGTCAGTCAACAGAAAAAGAGAAAGAAACAAAGGTTTCCAAAGATGTTCGAACGATTCGGGACTTTGAGGAAGGATTACTTCAGGCATATCAACAATACTTACAGATCCTAGAAAAAACAGCTCAAGGTACATGTATATTATACAAAAAATGCAACATCAAATCATAGCAAATTTATGTAAATATTTTCAAACAATATATTGTAATCATAAATCATATATTATAAATAGGAGGAAGTAAAGCTAACAGGAAAAGGAAAGCCAATGGTGAAGTACAGCAAGGAGAGGTACTGACAGCWTCTTGCACCCCACTGATCTTGTTTCATTACTTGTAATTGAGTAAAGGATCCAGGGGGGTGCAGGAGGTATATAGCCCACACATCAAAACTTTATGTCACTCCTTTAGCTGCAGAGACTTATGGTGGTCTGTAGCCCTTCCTGTTAAGAAAATCCACTGAATTATCAACCAATCATGTTCTCTTACATAAAWATGCAATGGACTAATATCTAAGCCTCCTCTAGATCTGCAAGTAGCTAGTTCCATTTCTTCTCAGTCCTTTTGACAAGGGAAGCCCTGGTCTGTTGAGGATGCTATGGCAAATGAAGTGCATTGTTAAATCTATATTTGTTCATTTTTTTAGGGTTTGATATTTATAGCAGTGCAGTGTATGTGTGACCTACTAGTGTCGCTGTCTCACTTTAATTATCGCAACAATCTCATCACAGTTTTGGTGCCAAAAATGAATGATCTTGACACACTTAATGGACAGGTAATAAATATAAATATTAGTTTAATAAATTGAGAGAAAAATAATTTGACATGGTAATTATTCCATGTGACACAGGCTTATTCATTGTAAAAAAAGACATTATTTGTTTCTGTTTGATAGATATCACACCTTTGTTGTGAGGCATTTCAGAGTCTTTTTAAGCAAGATAAAGTGGGTGATRTTTCTTTAGAGGTAMATCTGTTTGCACCTAAGSTTTGATTTTGCATTATTATTGGGCTGCCTATGTTTTAATGATACAATGTTTTAATTTCTCAGGTAACAAAAGTGATAAGTAAATATGTAAAAAGTCAAAGCTATAAAGTCAAACCTTGTGTGAGTAATTAAATTRCTATTTGTAAATAAACAAACTCTTTCAATGACCAAAAAGAGTTGAGTCTAATTCCCAAAATACCTGATTTATTCTTAGATGCCAAAATTATTTAAGCTAAGGAGTTTATTTGTTTGATAAAATGATAATTTCCAGGTTTTGCAAGTGTTCCWACATTTAAGAATAAACGACATGGATGTGCTGTCTTTGAAAGAGAGAAAAGAGAATGAGAGCAAACCAACAAAACTAAAAGGGCAAAATAAGAGAGATAAAATGATGAAAGCAAAGATGTCTAAGAAGGAAAGAAAGGTATATATTTTAATATATGATCCRAGTTTGATTCCCAGGAACATCGACAACAACATTATGATCTAATTATAGAGACAAAAAGAAATGAAGTCATTGGAGAAGGAGCTTCAAGCTACCCAAGCTGTTGAAGGTCAAGAAAAGAGAGCTAAAGTGGTAAGTGTACTATTGTTTACTTTATAAAACATTTTTACATTGTGCTAACATTGTAATCTTTTTCTTTTCAGCAAACTGAGATTCTTAAGTTTGTTTTTGCAACATACTTCCGTGTTCTCAAGTATAGAGCCAGCTCAACTCTGCTGTCGCCAGTGCTGGAGGGACTTGCTAAACATGCTCATTTGATAAACATAGATTTCTTTGCTGATCTKATGGCAGCTCTTCAGGGGCTTATTGTTAAAGAGGTATTAAGGAATCTTGACTGTTTTTTATGYTGGATTAATGTYACTACTTGAAGTYCTCATCGATGTTTTGTGCTTGTGAAAAATATTGTGATGCAAATGTAACACAACATGTTCCTTCAATGTGAGTTATACTTGTTATATATTTTATTTGTTTTTAGGAGCTTGCTTTGAGAGATAAACTGAACTGTGCACTGACAGCTTTTAAGATTTTGTCAGGCCAAGGTCAGTAATTCAATAATAATAATTAATTATTATAACKTATTATGTGTTATGTACTTGTGACTGACCGGTATTTTATTTGTAGGAGAGGCTTTGAACATTGACCCAAGAGGGTTTTATTGTACTCTTTATACCTGTCTCCTTCAACTCAATGCAGGTATTAGATTGTGTGTTACATGTCAGCTTATGCAGATTAGTTGATGGTTTGGTAATACAACATTCAAAGATATGTGACAAAAAACTAACAGAATGGAGTATGATTCTAGCCATTGTGTATACACCTACTTGCAGAAACGTTGTCATAGAAAATAGAACATTCGAATTTAGTAAAAAGGAATAAATTAAAACAAAACAAAAGAAAGCGTTCAGCCTCAGCGATCTTCTTTTGTCTTTTTAATTTATTCCTTTTTACTAAAATACAAATGTCCTATTTTTTTATGACAACGTTTTCGCAAGTAGGTGTATATTGACAAGAATGAAATAGACTTTTTACATATTGATTTTTTGTTGTTTCAGACATAAGCAATTCTGATGTTGATGTTGCTTTGAAGTGTCTAGATGTCATGATGAAGAAGAGGACGAAACAGGTGCAACTGATACAAACTCAGCATGCTTTATTGTTAATAAATTATGAACTAGAGGTTGAAAATGCTACACTCAAAATAATCAATAATAATACTAGTATAAGATCGTAATTAATCTTGTCACTTTCAGATTCCTATCCAAAGGGTGTCTGCATTTACTAAGAGGTTGTCGTCTATTAGTCTACAAGTGATGCCTAACAGTGCACTTGCTTTGCTGTCCTTTGTTAGAATCTTCTTTCAGGTAAACTATAATATATKCAGAATTACTTGCACTGTATGTTAAGGTAAATTTGGGGAAAGGAGTAGGACTTTGAGGCTTGCTGTACCCCTTGTATCCCATCCACCATTGGGGGTAGAGAAATGCCTTAGGAAGGAGGAATGTTTCCCCTAAAAAGAGTTTGATACTCATCTGGAAAAAGTAGCTGAGGCCAACCTAATGCATAGAAATCAAAGATATTGACCATTATTTCAAAGTTATTTTCATTCCATTCTGTTCAGCTTCACCCAAAATGTCAAAACCTYCTGGACAGTGATACAATGGGYATTGGTATATACCGACCGGATGTAGAAGATCCAGAGCTAAGCAACACAGAAAGTACAACTTCATGGGAACTWTCTTATCTTACAAGTGCTCACTATCATCCGACTGTAAGAACTCTAGCTGGAAATGTAGTTTTAGGGTCTTCTTCGCAAGTTATTGGCTCAAATCTTACAAGAATGTAAGTKGGAAATAGTAATCTTCTGATCATATGTTTACAAATAGCACTAAAAGTTGGATTCCTTTGCTATCCTCATTTTTTTTGCTGGGTCACAGTCTCCCTCTGTCATATTGAGGAAGACAGGAAGCCCAAAAGTAGGAAGAAGAGCAGAAATGAAATGCTTACAGAGCAGGTTTTTAGGATAATTTTTAGTTTTAAAAGTTTTTTCTTAGCCTGCCACCCCCTTACCAAGCTTTTGTTTTTGGGACATAGAGATACAGAATATAAGATATAAGGGGGGGGGGGGCATGCCTATGGGAGTCAGCACTGTCAATCATCATCATAGATTATACTACTACTTTTCATTGATGTTATCATATTATGAAATATTTGATGATATATTTACGTCATAGGCAACCTGAAGAATTATTCAAAGTATACGACAGCTCAGAAATGAAATTAAACCCAGACATATCAGAATTAGAAAAGAAAAATTTCAAATCATYCAAAAAAGCCAGGACACAGATGYATAACAATGATGTCACATGGAAAGGATCACCAATTGAGACACCTGTAAATAAAGCAATTGAATTCACTGAACAGAACTTGCACAACAYAAGCTTGTTTACTTTACCAATAAGAACATGATGGTGAATCGCCTGTKAGTGAAAAAGAAAGCAGTTTTTAAAGGTTGTTGTTTTTAAAGACAATAAATTCTTTACAACATTCAGACATCTTTGTTKKTWAMYTTTYYWWTKSMAAAAWWAWTTTTKRAWWAMMMCKRAAWCYTTACAAACCACCTGCTAATGCCTGGGCAACCACTTAATAGWTACTGTCGCTTTGGCAACCRCTCACTAACACCTTATCAACCACTTACTGATACCATGACAACCACWGACACTATGGCAACCACTTACTGATACCATGGTARCCACTATCTTACTGACACTGTGGCAACCATTTACTGACACCAATTACTGTAAAAACTTTTGAGGCTATGATTTTTATTTTTTCACAAATTTTTATTCATATACATTGTAATGTTATACATTGTAATGTTAGTAATGTACAGAATTAATTACATTTTGATAGATAACAATGAATTGAAATATAGACTGCAATGTTTATAAAATTTCACAGTTTGAGATTTGATGCACATTCTGACGTGGCAAACTGGCCACTTATAGTGGTAATTTATTGTTTATCTCTTATATTTTTTATATATCTATGTTAAAATGTTTTAGCATTTAAAAAGACTTTATATTTTGCATGTTTTTAATGCTTTTGACGTTCATATAGTTGTACATTATATATTCAGTACACAATAAGARTATATATTAATTAGCAAAAATAGTWAGTGAAGGTAGGGGCTCAAAGTTTTCTATGTTTTTTATCACTTTGTGATAAATCTTAATTGATTGTCACTACTGTTTAAATGTTATTGGCTTTTAACTTCTAAAACCTTGCTTTAAATCTGCTAGACTGGTTGTCATGTGACTTGCCCATTAAATTAATAGACCTTAGCTAAAATACTCCAAGTGCCTATTATTGACATCTATCAATCAAATCCCTGCCAGTCACTGTCATCATGTTCTTCATCCTTCTCCACTGCTATACATTTAATGTTTTCTTTTAACATCGGTGTGCCTTTCTTTGGTCCTAATACCCTTGCTTTGACACATACATGATAGATTTCATTCTTTGAATCATTTTTAAGATCAAATTTATCTTGTAAAAGGCCTTCTTTGTGGGCATCTAATTGTAAAATTACTTCCTGACCTTTGCCATCACCTAAAATTGAAAAACAACTGTCAAATTTCTGTAGCTTTTGAATAGCTGATATGGCAGATGGTGGAAGAGGGAATTAAAATTAAGTGCTCTAGCTCACTTGACACCGGATACTACATGTAGCTTTGATGTTTCCTAAATGACTGAGAATATAAATAAAAGTTCTAATATATTGAAAGCAAAAATTCATGTCATTCAGATTTATTTCTAGACCTAATACATCCTTCAAAATGTTTTGAATGAAAATGTCTTGTCTTTGACTTAAAGATGCAAAAATGTTTTCTGTAGTTTTGAAATAGTTAAATTAATTAAAGCCTCTATCAGCAATTTTCAGATCTGACAACTCAAACTGAAGCTTACCTAGTTTTTTCACTTCACAAATACAAAGAAATGGACTAGAAGTAGAGTGACTAACAGTACTGCTCTCTGCTACGGGTACAACAAAGGTGATCTCATATTTGTGCTTGTACTGCAGAAATCCAAGATGGACGTCCACTGATTTGCCTTTCTTTGTGACCTGTATTTCTGTATTAAGGCCTACACTCTCAGGAAAGTGGACATGGTGGTCATGATGAGCTGAAAGATAAATTATSGCATTGAAAAGGGGATTTGGGGATCAAGGTTAAGTACCTTGTAAGATAATTTTCAAAGTTAAAGTGTTTCCTCTCCAGATATTAGTGAATGAATAAAAATAAACATATCAATAAAAGAATAATGACATTTTCAATTAAAAATAATATGCATTTTTGAGGATTGATTAAAATTTAGGGAAATAAATCTACAGACACAATAATTGTTATAATTAATAATTCATGCTAGAGCAAATGAGAGGGAAAATGAATAGGTAAAATCAAAAACTGAAATTCACAAGACGATAAAGCTTATAACTTTCAAGCCAATTCACTTTATCCCATAAAGTCATTGATAGACATAATCATCATCAGATCAACCTTGGTCGGACATAAATGAATGAATATTACACACAGTATAGATATTTGAAAGAAAATGAGATTTGCATAAGAATCCTCTCTGCTCTTGAAAAACTAAAGAAAAAACAACAGATGTCAAAAGGCTTTAAATAGAATTGCTATTTGTTTGCTGCAGGAAGGTGGAGTGTTTTGACCAAGTGAGCTCAAAATGACAATCTTAGAGTCGTCTGATCTCCTTGAACATTTTTGAAAACAAAATGAAATTTGAGACAAATGCCAATGAGAAGCAGAGTGAACATTAACAGGAAGGAACTGTATGAATAAAAGACACAAAGATCTTTCAAAAGGTTACTTTTTAGCTTCATGGAAAAAATGTCACTTCAATGTCGCGTTATATACTAGGTGTAATATCTAAAAGGTGCAAAGCTTTTTTCTTGATAAACAAACTTTTATCCGGATATAAAGCTACTATCAGTGCAACTGTATTGTAAACATTCAAGATTTGAATCACCAAATTGCTCATATCGCTTCCTGAATCAGCCAAATAGACAGACAAGGTGTTTTTCTCACACTGGCACTGAAATTACATTTTGATATTCTGCGACAAAAGTGGTACGCGACWTTACCTAATAAAAGCGGTAGAATGTCTAGGAGTATATGAATACTAAATAAATAAAGCTTTTTATTTGAAGCATCCAAACATTTAACTAAAATTATCAAATATTAAAATGGGGATTCAGTTGAATTCAAAACAGCTGTAAGCCAAAGCGATTAGGTTGTCTGTAGCTGGGAATTTTAGAACTTTGTTGCTTACATTTGTCGTTCAAATAGTGGTAAGGAGTAATCTGTAAGAATATGTGCAAACAGGAAATCGTTTGACGTATTCACTAAAAAAGAGACATCAGTAATAATTCATGACAAGAAAGTCATCAATTTCTTAGATTAGAAATTAATTTATTCCAAAGGAAAAAAAGATTCATAATAATTGTCAACTTGGATTTCTTTGGAACGAATCGCGCCATTCTTGTTGTCATGCAGATTCAGTAAGATGACAAAATATTTTTAAAAGTATTAAAGAATTCTTTGTCGTATAATGATATTTCATCCAAAAAAATAGAGGAAAAGTTTGTGAAGAAACAATTTAAGACCACGCTGTTCATGTGTCGGTCATTAGCAAACTAGCTGGAATTCGTTCTCGCCTGATGTTTTAGGAGAGTATCGATTTCTGWTTCAAAGAATGCCACACAAAGTTATACTCACCATCTTCCTCATCGTTAGCATTTTGGTGGGGTTCTTTATATTCTGCCATGTTTTTTTGCAATCACACCGAAGCACGACGGAACAGAATCGATGAAGTTCTGTCAACGGTTGGTGTATGAGCCTGCGATGCTTTTTGTCAGCACAATACCCCAAGAGACTTATAAGTGTTCAAACACGTGAAGTTTGRTCTAGTTGTTTCGCAAAAGAATATAAGACTCTACAATTCTTAGGAGCTATTTATCTACATGTTTTTAAGTACACTGTTTAAATATGCAACACGACGAGGTAAATGCTTATAAGTTCAATCACTCATAATATTTTAATCTTATTCGATTYGACAAAATGGCCGACAGAAATCAATCACATGTATTTGCATTGAATGTTTTGATCTCAACCATTCGACTAGTACTCTTTACTAACATTTATTAACTCCATCAATGAATTCTATTTTGCATTAGGTATCTTTCTTTAGAAAGGACGAAAACWTTGCTGTATGAAAGCTAGAAGTGTCTAATCTCTTAAAATTGTGCCATTTTCGATATCTTTTAGGTAATATGGCAGGTTATAAATCAAGGGTTTTGCTCTTTTAAAGTAAAGTAAGTCCAGTTGTTTCCTTTTAGCCTGTTCTTTAATGCTAATCCACGTCATTTAAACTCTCCTGAAATTGGATCAAGGCAATAAAAAGCACACCAGCTGATGTTGTGTTTTATATAGCATCATCAACTAAAAGCATCGCTAAAGCTTTAGCCATTGGCGATTTATAGATGCTATTTTGTTATATAACGTACTCTGATCCAATTTGTAGTATTTTTTCTACTCATATTATTTTGTTTTAGATAAACTGTTATAATACAGATTTAATTTTTAGTTTCATGTAGGAAAGCCATAAAAGTTATTGTTCATTTTATAGTGCAGCTCTCAAGCAAAGATTAATAMCATAAAAGTGCCCTGTGGGGCTTTTTTTATCCTGAAAGCACTACACAGCCTATGCAAATACATTCTACCACAGGAATCCCAATAGTTTATTTACTGGTTTTGTTTGTTTGAGCACAGGACAGAAACAAAGAAATTTTGYCGCAATGAATATAACTCCACAGGACTGTGCAATAGACAGTCATGCCCTCTTGCAAACAGTAGATATGCTACTGTAAGAGAAAAAGACGGTAGGGAAGCTATATCATAAAAAAATTATAATAAATATTATATATTAATACTGGAAAGACTGTCTAATTAAATACAAACAATTCTTTTATTGCTTCATAAACAAGAGTCTGATATTGTTATGCATGTAAAATGTCTGCAGTTAATTTTTACTATTTTCAAAGACCTTCTGCAATTATTTTTTTATGTTTGAGATTTGTTAACTTAGATTTTTATTTATTTCCTTTTGTAGGAGTCTGCTACTTGTACATAAAAACCATAGAAAGAGCACATTCACCATCAAAGTTGTGGGAAAAAATAAAATTAGTAAAAAATTATGAGTCAGCTTTAGCACAAATAGACAAACATCTTTTGTATTGGCCTAACTTCAATATCCACAAATGTAAACAGAGATACACTAAAATTGTCCAAGTAAGTCTGTATTTGATTTATACTTATCATTAATAATCATTAATATTATAATACTGTGTGTCGAGTGCTAAGCACAAAACTTAGGATCACAGCAAATCTTCCCTATCCCTTTTATTGCTTCATTTAATATTATAATTATAACTTATTGATGATAGAAAAAATATRATCAGTGATTTGATATGTTACATTGTTTTTTGCAGTATTTAATACGGATGAGGAAACTACGACTAAAAACGAGGTAAACAAGCAATCTTAATTCTGATCTATTTATGATGATAATGTGTATAAATACATTTGTGATGCTACTAATAGATTTTATGTACAAAATATAATAGATGCATTTCTCTTTTCTTTAAACCTTCAGCAAAAAGCTTGTSACAGTTAATAAAAAAGTTGAAAGAAGGGAAAAAAGAAGGGAGGTAAAGCCTTTTTTTGTGGAAAACCATACAGTTGTGCTATCTCATTTACCATTGCATCACATTCATATCTAAGTAGTATACTGTCAACATTACAGTAGTTCTAAAAAACAATCTCATCAGTTATTTTGTGTATAGTTTGATGTATCAATATTTTGAATTTAGGCAAAAGCGCTTGTTGCAGCCCAGCTTGATAATGCCATTGAAAAGGAGTTACTGGACAGACTTCAACAAGGAACAGTAAGTTTGGGGTCTGATTATTTAATACAGTGCCAACAAAATACCAGTGAAGTAGTTAGTGTTTATTACTCCTATATAGTTTTGATTAGTAAATAGGAGACAAGTTTGGATAATCTAGCACTATTTTGTTAGCTATCTTTTTCACAGATATAAATTGTTTGCACTCTGTTGAACACAGAATTATGTTGTTTGCAGTATGGTGATATTTACAACATTGAGAAAGCAGCATTTGAAAATGCACTTGAGAAACTAGAAGTGGAATCAGAAGATGAAGAAGAGAAAGAAGATGTAGAGGAAGAGGTAAGTTTTTTTTTAAACCAAACTTTATTCTGCAGATCTTAAATATTAAATCTTTGAAGTTAGTTTTTATCCTTAAGTTAGTATCTATCCTTACTCTTATTGTCATTATTATTTATTTAGGAGGAAGAAGAGCCAGAATTTGTTGCAGAAGATGAAATAGAAGAGAGTGATTTAAGTGATATTGAGGTGAACACATTAATTTGACTTTCAACTCAATTCATGTTTTAAAATCGTATATAGTGACAAGTAATAATTTAATTGTATCGTGATGTTTTTTTTCAGGACTTTGAAGCTGAGAGTGAAAGCGAAGAAGAACAAGAACAAGAAACAGAAACTCCTATACAAAAGAAAAGAAGAAATAAAGTGGAAATTGAATATGAAGAGGAAGTTGAAATGAAGAGAACTAAACTAAAAGCTTGAATAAAATTGTTTTTATTTCTGCAATTAAAATAKCCTACACAATTACAAATCTGATTTGCTTATAATTAATAATATTATTATCTATCTGAGCACTTTATGTTTATCAATAAATCCAAAATACCTCAGTAAAATATGAAACCTGAGGGTTCCTAACAAGGAATATTTTTTTCAAAATACATTATTTATATTTTCTGTACACATGTCTTGTTCGGTTGCAAGGACATGTAACMATTATAATAATTTATAGGAATGTTGATTTAAGAATTGTACTTGAGTATTAGGTCAACAGCTTGGGCTAAATTGTCTACAAAACCATCTGGCTTTACTGTTGGGTGGTTTTCATCAGATGGCCTGAATTTYCCTGTCCTAACTTGCACTCCTCGGATGCCACAAGCCTGAGCTCCTCCAACATCATTAGCAATATCATCACCAATCATAACAGCCTGCAAGCAAGAGTTTACAGTATTAGACATGTCTGAATAAGAAGTTGCATTCAGTTCTTTGACTTACCTGGTCTGTTGTCACACCTATATCTTCCAGAGCAGTGAGAAAAAATACTTTTGATGGCTTGCCTACAATTTCAGCCTTGACATCACATGCATACTGAAATAAAATCAAGGGCCTGAGGACAAGTTTGCTAGCGTATATGTACCTCCCAAAGCAACTCTTTTTTTTTTCTCATTGGACTTCCTTTGTGAAGGTCACTGACTAGTGACAAAAGAAAAATATGACAAGGAGCCTTTCTACTCTTGCTCGCATTCTCTCTTTTCTGCCCCCCAGAAGAAACTAGACAGGAAGCCCATGACTCTTAGTGATGCCATTGAAAGAGTCTAATAGAGCCAATGATGTCCAAAATTGTGTGCAGCTGCATGTTCGACACTTAATAATCATTAGGTATCAAGATTACTTGCATTGCAGGCTATATTTCCTATACAGCTAGTCAGGCAAAATGGAGAACATCACTACTTGCAGGGTATACAAATCAGAACAACATTGAATTTGTTTCGCCCATACCTCAATTGCTTTWGTAAAAGGACCAACATCTAAGACCAACTGGCCATCAGTTTTGTAATATTTTCTAAAATTTTATTATAAGTAATAGTAGTTAATTAAATTTTCTAATCCCAAAGTTACAGTGAAACTGCATTCCATTCAGAATCTACTCTTATTTATTGATATATTATTATTCTAGATACCAAACATAATATTGTTACTATAATTTCTGGTCGTGACAGGAAATTATCACAGGGTTCCCAAACAGGATTTTCATGTGACTATCTTACCCATATCCCATGGAAAATAAGATTGGATCCTCCATTTCTAGAAGTGCTCTGAATGCCTTGTTCAAATTCTCATAGCTAAACTCATCAGCTGCGTCCCCAATAACAACACARTTTGGTTTATCAAAGTCCAGTCCATCAAAATCTGGTTTTCCTCCAGGATGAATCAGTAAATGAGGACGAAGRTTACGTCTTTGTAGRATCATCTTTGTTGCAGGAGCTGGAGCAAACAACTCTCTTGGAGTAAGCTTATAACCTAATTTATTCAACTTTTYTACTAATTCTTCTCGGGTGCATTGTGTTTCATTGGTACAAAATCTAACAYTCAGTCCTGCAGCTTTTAATCTGAAAGAAATACAAGAAAAACAGCAGTKATTAAGAGTATACAAGCTTAAAAAGTTTAAGCTAAAATATTTTGGTCTCCRCACACAGTTCATAACATGACAAAAATTAAGTAATACCACGTATCATTACAAATTAATGCACCTTTCAACTGCCTGGACAGATCCTGGAATCAGYGAGCCTCCATCTTGCCCAGAGTTGTATAAAACACCAGAGATATCGAGCAAAAYTCCTTGTATTTTTGTTTGCAGCCATTTTGGCCTTTCGTCCGCCATTTTGTTTTGAAAAAGAAAAGGGAGACTGGTAACTAAAAACATGTAACTGCTGAGTCAGTGGCTCGAAGGCTCAGTGTAGTTGAGCTTGCCGCGATACACATAAAACTGTGTTGGTTATTTGTGCATTTAATTCCTTAGAAGCCCTTCTGTATCTTTGAGAAGGCATTGGCAGTCATCCTCAAGCGTCGTTGTTAGTTTCAAGTTCGTTTTCTTTGGAAAATCAGTGGCCGATGTTTTGCAGTTTGTTTTGATTTGAGCTTTGATCGCCCAACATTCCATCGTGTTACAATTATGCCGTACAGGGACGATTATTCGAGACTCTGTGGACCTATGAATTACAAGGACAATGAAGGAAACTGGGAGAGAAAGTTGGCAATCTTAGACGAGGATAAATGTCTTCTGCGGTTTTTCAACGTCTACAGTTATTCCCCTGTAAGTTTTGYAATATTATAGACAGTGCCTTTGCATATTTGTATATCAAGTGCTTTTATTTCCGGCTTGAGRTCATCGATATTTTTAAGATACCATATTCTTTCTATGGATTTTGACATATCGCTTGGAATAATAATTTGCCKCTTTAATATGATTCTTATGCCTTCGAGAACATGTGATCAAGTTGCCTTTCGTTTTCTAGCCGTAACGGAAAGTTTCGAAACAGTTAATCGCGGGAGAATCTCTACTTTCTGCATGAGGTATTAATTTCGCGTCAATTATTTTGTGTATGGAATGTTATTGTTAAGGCAGAGACGAAGCTTGTTTTTACAAAAATGTCATCAGTTTTTTTGATTTCGCGTGATTTTCTATGCTTTCGTGATCACTTCGAAACGCTTTTTGCGGTTGGCAATAATATTGATTATAAGTAATTGATTTAAATTAATCAAAAGTTGAAGTCTTAAGTAACTAAATATTTATATCTTTTAAAGAATAGTGTAATAAATGATATAATCCAAACTTTTTTATTCTGATCAAATGTGAAAAAAGTAAAAAAAGAAGAAGCATGACTAAGCTGTTGCTAACAGAAAGTGAATCTCTGCAAGACACATGTACATCAGAGACAGAACTGAGTAATTAATAAATCCATGCCACAGCATTTGGACAGATGATACTAACAACAGTTCATATTTTAAATATAACAAAAACCATTACATGATTTTACTCCTGAGCACACAGTGAAGTTGGCTCTCTTTGGGGCTGGATGAGACAGCATGGAGAAAAGTATTYTCATTCCTGTCCTCTAAAGAGAGCCAGCTAACCAGGCTATTAAAGTTTATACTGGAAAAGTCCATGGAACTGTTCATTTGTATTTAAGAAAGAGGAAAAGCTTTGGGATATGCCTGATAGAGAAATTGCAACTGGACTCATCACAAAGGTAAGATATCTCCTGGGTGGCTTGCAACCCTCCCATGAACGTAGAGTATATCTGCCACTACACTGAACTTTAATGATAAAAGTATGAAGTACGTATTGTACAGCTTTTTAATATGTTATAATGGCTCATAATGACATGAGAAATTTGTGACAAACAGTCAGTTGTTTTTGTTATTGTGTCGACTTGATGCTATGAGAAAAAGTTTCAGTTTTGTCATGGGGTGATTTACTTCCTTCTGTTCTGTATAAGTTAGTTATATAGTCATTGTACAACATATTTTGCCAGTAGGTAATAACTGTTATTTTTTTTTACTGAATTAGATTGAGAAAAAGGCTGAAGAACCTCACAGTTTTGGTAAAACAGTAATATTGAATTTGTGCATAGTTSCTCTATTTGAGTGCCTCTGCATTCTTGGCACTTAATAGGGTTCCTTGATTCCACTCATAAATTTCAAACTCCTTTCATTAATATCCGCTATTTCTCCAATTCATCTTTTTCTTGCTGCTTTGCTTTCTTACATTTTGTTTTGGTTTGATTAGCTCAATTCATTTTTATTCATTGTCACATCTTCTGAAGCAGTGATTTTTATCCAGAGGTCCAGATGGTTGATTTAAAAAAACATATGCTTCAAGCAGAGTCAGAAGAAGAAATGGAAGAATGGATAAAAAACCTTCACAGAGTTGCTGTAAGTTTTAAGAAAGATAATGTTTGATACAATGTAGTACCAGTCATTA